ATAAGATAGAGTGGTATGTCAGGAGATATAACGTATTTGTATTTTCATCCACTTCGTCCTCTTTCACTCAAATAAAAATGTACATCTCATTTACTTTTAACTACATGAGCTCAAGAAAGACAATAAGGCATATATAGTAACTGCTAAACTCAAAAAATATTTTAATAATTCACTTTATAACAGAATCAAAAAATGTCAATGCACCAAGCCTCATGTATCATTCATGTGCACAGCGTTAATACTTTGAATTCTACTAGCACTCATACACTGATCATGGATAATTGATCAAAAATGGAATGGAGTAGAACGTTATTGTTTAAAAGATCTGTATCTCCCTCTGACTCAAATTTCCTTTATTTTAGTAGATCAGACATATCCATTAAAAGTCAACTGACATGTGTTTTTTCTTTTCATAGGACTAAAATGTCATTAAACTTTTTCTCCCCTTAAAGGGATCACATTGAAAATCAATATGTGCAGTGTAGAGAGAACATATTTAGTTTCAATCATGGAGATGATATATCTAGAGAGAGAGAGAGAGAGAGAAAGAGAGAGATATCTATATCTATCTATACATCTATATACACACACATATATTGACAGGTTTTGTTCTTCTCCAAACTAGTAAGTGATCTGAAAAACACAAGAGCTTCAGCAACTAAAAGTTACTTTTTCAAGTATTTTTTTTTGTCTTCCCTTATTCTTTCACTGTAATTAATATCTAGTTAAATGCTTTCTTTTGATAATGGACAGGATTATAAATATCATGAAAAGGTCCAACCATGAAAAGGCATCCTGTCCATTCAAAGCTGCTGCCTTGAGCAATTTCAGCACAGGCACAGTAATTTTAGACCACTCTAGTTGACTGTTGTTCTGTTATTGATTGTAAAACCTGTTCAATGAAGATTAGGAAAAAAATTAAAATAAAAAATGATGTTTTTAATATCAGTATATTCCTTTTACTTCTTCCCACTCATTTCTAAAAAAGTCAAGTTTTAATTTTTCCTCCGCTACATATTTTATTTCGGCTGTTATTTTAGCATTTTCTCGGTTAACTGAATGCTAATAGCTGTCCCTCTTCCATTGTTCCTTTTTTCTGTGCAGTAGTCTCTCTGTTGTTTTTTTATTTCAATCTCCCATTCTTTTCTTCTTCTTCCCAGGTACCCTTCCTGGGAAGAACAGCAAAGGACACTCTGAACAAGGACTGAGGAATGACTAGTTAAGCAAGCACAGATTCTTTCTAAGAGAAAAACAAACTTAAAAGTTCTACTAACAACACAGCTAATGGTACAGATTTGTGAAAAAAAGTCTAGGATGCATATCCACTTAAAATCCCAATTTTCTACTCTGCGAACAGTAACATGAAAGCAGACGTGGTGTCACAAAACTGGTCAGCATGGTCACTCAGGAGATGAAGATTAAAATAGTACAGACATTATGAGCATTATTTTTTTAATCCTAGAATCCTTTCATTCTTGTCATTAAGAGTTCTTTGCTAAATGGGATCTCATCCTTCAGTCCTTGTGCCTATAAAATGCCAGGTACAGGGAGAACAAAGGTACATAGTGAAGAACATCCTAAGAGGGTCTAATGGTCTTTTGGGCTGCTGTTTGTGCCTGTTTCTGAAAGAAGCCTCGTTAATTCATATTTAAAAAGAGATAATTCAGAAAGTCTATTCATATCTACCATTCATTTACTCACCTGCATCAGTGCATCCTCAAACTTTCAATGATACCCAATCAGTGCCAGGATGAATTGTCAATATTCTACCAGAATGCTACTGCTGTATGAGCTTCACACAGCTCCTGACTTTCTCTTAGAGAATTTTTTAAATGTGACACATATTCATGGAAATGCATTTCTGAGTGGAACCATTACAAAAATTCTGCTTAGAAACACTTCACTCTAAATCAACTCTTCTGCTATTCAGCTTCTCATATCAAGGTTTCTGGTACTAACTTACACTTTTCCCTACTATTCTTTACATTCACATGTCCTAAGTCCATAGTTTATCCTAAACATCATGCAATATATTAGCGCTTTGAAAAGACTATAAACATGATTTAATATTTCCTTTCAAAATTTTATGTCTCTATTCAAACCTTAAAATATTTTGTCTTTCTCCATGGTTACTTGACAGAATTAAAGAGTAGGTGTCAACCTACAAAGGTGTCAAACCTCTTAGGTCACCCACAGAACGGGATAGTCAGAGTCAGTACAAAAACCAAGAATTTCAGAAATAGCTGCCAGATTTAACTAAGAAACTTTTTAGAAAATCTGACTACAAACGCAGCAGCTCTTTTACACTAACACGCAGCCACTTGAATCAAATGTAGTCCTAAAAGAAGAAAGTCTGTCCAAGCAGAAAGTGATGTGACATATCACCCCAGGCATAAACCTGGTATTCAGTGAAAAACTCAGATTTGTGATTAGTAGCACAGTTTGGGGGATTCCATCACCTTCAAAAGACTCTGCTGCCATCCAAGTAATTTTCCATAATCCTTTTGCTGAAAATGATTGCATGCAATTGCAAAAGACATATTAAGACAGCATTCTTCTTGGTAAAAATAGGTACTTTAAAAAATAAACACTCTGTACTCCTTTTTTGATTTTTTTTTTTTTAAATACACAACGTAACTGGTTACAAAGTAACATCAGTGAGGTTGTATAACACTATAATGCACAAGGCAATGGGATCAATCCAAGCCTACTAGGGAGAACCTTAATGTTTCAGTTTAGTCCTCCAATGCATATCTGAATCAGCTGGGGCAATTCAAGACATGAGGCCTCTCAGATGGTATTTTACTAGCCCCTATAATGCTCATCCAGTTACAGCTGCCTTAAACGAGTATCTATTTACACAAATTTTTTCTGTTTTCACATCTCAGCTGAAAACATACATCTCCCGCAGGTAATACCTCTCTTTCATCAGTTTTCTTTTTTAAAGCTATGTTTGATTTCCTGTGAGAACTGAATGATCCTCACTACTGCAGCAACAGAAATAGGATAAAACAGTAATGCAAACTGCAAGGTCACATTCTTAGGGACTTATAGCTACAGTTCCTGCTTTACAGCAAGGGCTCATCCAATGGAAGTTTCAGAAGAAGAAAAAGGCTTGGATGAATCAGTCAATCCAAGAGTGACCCAGTCACCAACAGCATATAGTTTTCAGTACTACCACATATAATGTATTCGGCAAGGTATTCCCAATAGGGATATGAAAGAATAAACGTTACTGCACAAAGCTGTGTTAAGGCCTCGTATAGAATACTGCATACATTTCTGGGCATTCATCCAAAGAAAGTGATTTCAGATTGAAACAGATGACAAAATCTAACATCAGGATAAAGGTGGTACATAGAAAAGCCCATCTTGCAGGAGACGGCAAAGACAACGTTTGGCTTAGTTACTCTGAAGAAAAAGGGGGAGCTGGAATCAAGAGGTAACAACATTGTCCTCTAACTATAAAGAAGAGTAAGCGATAAGTGAAATTTAGAAAACTTTTGCTATTCTAGCTATTTACAAACTACTTGAGTATCAGTTAAGCTAAACTGAAGACTCTAATATCGTCAGCCAAGGATCTCAACCAATTGGTCTTTTATTATGTAGCTTTACCAAAAACATCCTGGCCTACAGTCCAAAAAGCCAAATGATAATATAGCCATATTGTAATGCGATCTTCATTAAGTTTTACCAAAGACAATTGTAATGTTCAATGAATCTACTTTAAATTATTTGTAACGATTTAAATAGTATCAAAATACTTCACCTCAGCTATCTCTGAAACTATTTTTCTATGTTAGCCAACATTATGAAGCAAATACTGACATATAGATTATTCAAAACATACACGGTCCATCACACCCTAATTAGTAAGTTACACATTAGCTACGCTGTAATTAATCACATACATACTTCCCTTGATTTTAGGGAAGAAATTTGGAGATCTCCTTTTCAGTCTCTTTGGCATGAAGGATGGCTTAACCACCATCTATGCTACTAAAGAAACTTCAGGCAAGTCTATTCTCTTGTGACTGTTCCTTTAACTGTCAAACTCCGCCAAGACTGAAAAAAAACGTGTCTAGGAATACATACTACTTTTGGTTTGGGGCTTTTTGTTTTTGATTTTTAAAACAAGATTGCTTACTGTCTATCTTGCTAAATTTGCACATTGCTGATATTTGTGAATTAATTTTTGTTGCCAAAAGAAGTGTTTCAGGAGTAGCTGCTTTTCTAAAAGAAGTTAACTCCAAATACACAAAGAAATTAGTGCATGAGGTCTGTATATTTCTGGTTTATGAGAAATTCTGACTATAAGAAGTGTTTGAATCCATGAAGCTTAACTCATTTGCAGCTTTGTATCTTCCTAGAGCCAGGGCTTGCAGAGTTGATGTAGCTAAGAAAGAGCACGTCAGAGAGAGGAGGTATTTTGACTGTATTAATAAATAACATGGCGAGAATATTACATTGGAGCAATGAGAGGGGAGCGAGAACATATCAATTTTGGGAGCCTCCTCTCTGTGGACCATCCTCTAGCATCCCGGGACAGCAATTCCGCCTTTGCGAGCACACTGTGACAGCTCCCAAAACTAAGCATGTGTGCATGTGAAGGTGCCCTCAGAGCGCCCTCAGTCCCATTCTTCACTGCCAAAATTGACAGTAACAAAATTGCTACATCCTGCTGTTGAGTGGAGCTCAATGCCCCACGCACACTCCAATAACTCAAGCTTAATGTCAGCTGTGCAAATACAATTTAACAAAAAGCACAATCACATAAAATGAAGAATATATATACAGAAGTTTTTTTGACTGTGCAGGTTGACCAAAATAACAGTAAAGAATATCCACAACCTAAATGGAAAAAAACTACACAACTTTTAACTACAAAACAAATACTCACAGAAAAGAAATAATTTCAAAATTATTTGTATGATTCACAAATTCCGATTTGTCCATGTGAAAGAAAGTACATGTAAATGAGATAGCTCCATTTCTTTTACCTTAGCAATGGTCTCATGCAGTCTGAAAGAGGGATCCAGCTCTTCAGTTTTTGTTGTATGCACAGGAAAAAGAGCCTCAAAGAGAAAGCTAGAATTCTGTGAAAAAGAAGTAAGAAGCCTTTTAGGATTCCATGTATATTTATTTCTTCAAATGCTTACTGGATTCTGCTCAGAGATTCAAAAGTCTTCAAATTGTTTTAGAGTTTTGCTGATTATTAGACTTTATTTCACTGATATAATTAACTCTTTCCAACTCTCTGAAAGAGGAACCAAAAACTTTTTATGACTTTGTTTCTGGAATGGCAGTTGTCTTTGTACCTACGCTTCCCCAAAAGCACAAAAATTTTGCCTAGAGGAAGAAAAAAAAAACACATGGGGATTTCATTCTGTGCTAGGCAAAAATCAGATATTTTATGAAGTTAGTTATGATATAGTCTTCAGAAGACATATAAACACAATAATCATAGTATATGGTTTTATCTTTTAAAATCATCCTACTTCTGTACACAGTAATATCTTCTACATAATTTAGAGTTTTTGTCAACTCCTTAAAAGCATATCCTTTAGGCTGACCACTCTTTTTAACAGGCGATATAATGTATTATTTGTTCAAGATGTTCACCTCTTCTTGTACCGTAAGAAGGCAAGCAGTCAGGTTGCATACTTGCTGTCACAAGGAAACAACTAACCCATATCCAGGTGTGGACTAAAAGAAGCAAAATAAAACCAAGCCCCAAACCTCAAAGGTGCACAAGTTGCCTAATAAGGGAATTATTTTGAACCTACATGCATGAAGCTGGTATAATAGACCAAAAACTAAACTAAGAATAAAGGTTTTCTCAGCATCGATAAAAGTCTTGAAAGTATTCCCTGCTGCAGATCACTAACTGCCTGTAGTTTTGGCTTCTAGGCATGGCCAGAATTGCCCCTCTTGGAACAGCTAGGAACCTACTGCCCTTCTAATCACTGCTGGGATCAGTGTAGAAGTGCACCTTGGTGGACCGAGATGCTCAATTTGGTAAGCATGCTTTGAATACACTTAACGCTCACCAACAGCAATGAGTTCAGTACAAAAGCACAGAAACTATGGCCACAATTATTTCAGGGAACAGCAGGAGGATGTGGAGGTACACAACTATCATGCCATTTTATAAACTATTGGTTATGAGCAGTTCTTTCAAATAATGATACTTTTCAGAGTAGATTCCATGCTCAAATGCACATATAAACAGAGAGCCATCCAATCCTACGTTCTGAAGAGGAAGAGGATTTCACTTCAATCCCTGTGCCGAACTCTGATTAGGTCTAGCAATTAACTTCAATATCCTATTTTTATCCCCTTTTAAAAGGCCTAAATCTTTCCTTGCCCGTGAATCTTATTCTGCGTTTTGATGTTAATTTTGGATGCCAGCACCTAGGTATAATATTATTGTGTTTAGCTAGAATACCCAAAAGTCCTTTACTGGATTTCATATTTAGTGTATAATGCGTGGTGTGCCATGTAGAATCAGACACAGGCTTATCAGACGGGTGAGCAGGGGAATGCAAAGGGACTAAAAGCCTCTCGTTAGCACACTTCCACATAGCATGCCTTCCCATCTGAGTGCTTGTCTTTTATCTGACAAACCTCACAGAATCTCTAAGGCAGTATTAGCATGCAGATTCAGTTTCAGAGTAAGTTAGCCTACTCCTAGAGCTCACATGCTGCATGTTTCCCTTACTGCCACTAAGTTTTCTTCTGGAGAGGCACAACTGTAAGAATATAAGAAATGTATCCATCAAGAAAGATTAAGGAGACAAGTGTGACTCGCGAAATGAATATATTCTGCCAGATTCATAATCATAACATTTTACATATGCTAGTTCTAGAGTTTTATGTAAGATCCAGTAACAGAGTGCCCCAATTCTGAGTACAATTTTTATGCTCTATCAAAATCCATATAAAATTGTAATAGCAGCAATAAGAAGCTCTCAACATCCCTGGCCCAGAAAGGCCTAAATCATCATGGGATAATAACATGTTTCCATCTCTATTAAAATCATTTTGGAAAACATTTAGAGTCTCTTTGGACTGAATTCCAAATAAAATGCACAGAAGTCTAGAGTCTAGCTAAAACACTCCTATTGTTTAAGACAAATAATTTCTCTGGTCTAGACTTTTTTCCAGACCGTTTGGCAATATTGACAACGTTCTGGAAACATGTCCTTTTCAAATACTAGTTTCCCATACCTACAAGACTGACATTTCTTCCGTTTCCTCCTCCTGACATTCACTGATCTTCAATACTTCTGTCCTTATACTCCAGAAACGACTCATACTCTGTTCAGATAAGTAGTGAAGCCCCTCCTTTAAGAGCATTAAACCTGGCAATGATGCTCAAGTCATTCTTCAACAGCCATGAAGTTATTTGCCTTCAGAAACTGCACGCTACACAGCAGCAGAATGAAGTTCTGGTTAAAAAATATTAATAATGATCTGAGCTTTAGTAGGATTGCTTTGTAAGGTTTGCCCTCCGCTATCTTTTAACTTGCTAAAAACAATCTGTAGGGCTTACTGTTTTAAACCTCAGGAAATGTTTCTCTCTCTCATTTCCTCGATTTAGATGCTTTGTTCTGGCTTGTACAACCTCTTTTTACGTGACTGAACTTTGCTCTCTCATAGGCTGGGCTCTAAGCCATACAAAGGCGGAAGAAAAACAGCAGTTCAGCAAAAAATGTCGCTAGCTTCAATTCAAACAAAAGCCACAAGGAAGCAGAGAAACAAATTACTCTCTTTCTCAAAATGAGCTAAAATAAAAATATCTGACCCATGTAGCACTAGTGGATAAAGTGGCGGTATCTGAAATATCCCTGCTCAATCAGAATTATCTTTGTACTACACAATGGAGTACAGCGCAAAGACCTAAGAGCTAATTCTTAATTGGCCTTTACTCCGACACAGCCTCGTTAACAGTCTTCCTGGATAAGTCTGGGTTACAAACACGTTATAATCATATCAGTGATGCGATATACCACTATGCTCTGCTCAAAACTACCGAGCTCAGGCCTATAGTTCCCTACAGACCCTTTGCAATCCTTACAGTTGTTCTGTCACGTGCCACATCCACACTCTAGAAAACTCACGGATTAGTATGTTCCTTCTCTGGAAGCCACTGGGCAACCAACCCTTCCTCCAAAGGGTTCCAGCCTCGTCCAGACCACAGTAGCTGGGCAAGGTAAACCGGCAGCCTTTGCTACCATCTCAATTGCTGCCTTTTAAAGGAACAAAACATAAGCAATGAGCTGCGCACACAGAACATATGTTGTCCTCACAAGTGGCAAGTCATTCCGCTAATGATGGAATCAAGACTCTGCTTGTTAAGATCTTGAACAAGTCATACAGAATCACTATTTTAAGCATGCTTGTGCATTTTCACACATGGTTAAGCTTTCTGCATGACAATCAAAGCCTTTGTATGCACTTGTGCGCACTACGGCGTGCACACAAAATACACTAAATGACTACTATTTTATGCATTTATACATACCACAGATAATTTTTATTATATTGTATTTGTATGTACATACACACCCAGCTATCTGAAGTAACTTGTTGACACCTAAAATATCTTGTCCTATACTTATGGGACATGCTTACAATTTTTTTTTTTTTTGTAAAAAGACACCGCCATAACGAACTACTAGAACAGAAAGCATGTTCTGGTTCTTTTGCCTTTATTGGTCATTCAAGCATCACACTCACCAGAGAAAGCTGAATGAACCTTCCAAATAGCAGAAGACCCCTCTTTATCCCAGAAAGTATGTGGCAGAGATAGGAGTCTAGATGATGTTCCAGGAGTACCTCTCAGCATTTAACAGCAAGGACAACACTTTCTAATAGCGAAAAACTGAATCAGCTGCCTCATTTATTCTTTCAGTAAGCTCACATTAGCAAGTATATATTTTTTAATAGCAATTTGCTAAGCACTAAGAAAAAGACATGCTAATCCAAAGAGCACTAAAAACAAGTATATTTTACCTTAACGTTTTTCACCCACAGCAGGAGTTAACAGCTATATTTGCTATCCTCATACTCTTTCACACTCATTTCCTAAACAAAATTCATTTGATTTCACTTCTACTTAGGCACTAGTATCATGGAGAACTGAAATGACTACAATTATCATCTAAACTCTCAGTGTTCAAGTTGTCAGACTAAATCCTTGCTGACATAGAAGTACTGACTGTAGTGCATCTTGGGGATTGGATGCAGGCCACAACAGCCAAGGAGTAGACAGTAATAATAAGGGTTATAGAGGTTTCTAATGGCCCCTTCATTTTGCCTTTTCATCCAGCAGCTAGGTATTAACTTACATTCACTTCGTACAATTTACACAGTGTTCTACATATTATGGAACTGAATTATCTCATGATGATATTCATTTATGGAGAGACTTTCAGAAGGTTAGGCCCCTGTGAAGTTCAACAGACCCTAAAATCAGATGCCCAACTTCCTTTCATGCCTTTGAAAATTTCTTCTTTGCTGTTTACTGCCTTTTTTAAATTGCTCTGTGGGTATGCAGCTATCCAAATGGTTTAGGAATGTTTGCTCTTCTGAAAGTAAGTTACCTTTTTATAATACAATTTATTCAAGCTGTAGAAAAGACACTGCCAATAATCCTTGAATTTCCAGCTTAATGCTTGTTGTTTCGCTATGAATCTCTTCAGAAGAGAAATGTTCAGGTATAGCATAAGTATTTGGAAGCTGTCTTCCAAAACCTCCTTTATCTCATCTTCCTTTTTGAATGATCAGTTAACCTGATCTTTTCAATACTAATTTAATGAAGCATTCTGTGAAATTAGAAACACATTGATGTTCCACTTTTCAAATAATGGGTCACTTCTGATTAAACTTCGACTAAACAGTCAACCTTCAATCTTAAAACAAATTGCCTCCTTTTCTTTTTAATTTGAACTCAATTTCCTGCTGCCCTCAAGTCTCCTGACAGTAATTAATTGATTTATGAATTCATTAAAGGGGGATCGAAAATGCAAAAAGAAAAACCTGAGACCCCCAAACCTGGCTTCCTCTCATTTATTTATGATGAACACCAAAA